AATGGTCCGGATAAAAGAATAACACAGGGGTTTAAATGGGCCCGGAACAATTGTTACCCCAGTGGGCCCAAAGGGGTTAATAAACGTGGACGATTTGGTTTCAGCTCTGGCCAGCCCATGCTAGCTTTCGCAGACCACTTTGGTACGCTTAAAATGGTAGAAGAGACGCTGTCAGACTTAGCAAAAAAAAAAATTTTTGAAAAAGCTTCGACAGGGACTCGAACTCGGGACCCCAAAGTTGCCAGGCAGGTGCGCAGCCCACTGGGCCACCCAGACCTGGGGTTAACCCTAGCTTAACCCTAGGGTTAACCCTAGTTTTGGAAAATCAATTAGGGTTAGCTCAGGAAAGGGTGAAAGCTCGTTCCAAGCTATGGTTTCCGCATATGAAACGAAAGAGCACTTCGTTGCGCATCTTCTCAACACAAAATGGTCCGGATAAAAGAATAACACAGGGGTTTAAATGGGCCCGGAACAATTGTTACCCCAGTGGGCCCAAAGGGGTTAATAAACGTGGACGATTTGGTTTCAGCTCTGGCCAGCCCATGCTAGCTGTCGCAGACCACTTTGGTACGCTTAAAATGGTAGAAGAGACGCTGTCAGACTTAGCAAAAAAAAAAATTTTTGAAAAAGCTTCGACAGGGACTCGAACTCGGGACCCCAAAGTTGCCAGGCAGGTGCGCAGCCCACTGGGCCACCCAGACCTGGGGTTAACCCTAGCTTAACCCTAGGGTTAACCCTAGTTTTGGAAAATCAATTAGGGTTAGCTCAGGAAAGGGTGAAAGCTCGTTCCAAGCTATGGTTTCCGCATATGAAACGAAAGAGCACTTCGTTGCGCATCTTCTCAACACAAAATGGTCCGGATAAAAGAATAACACAGGGGTTTAAATGGGCCCGGAACAATTGTTACCCCAGTGGGCCCAAAGGGGTTAATAAACGTGGACGATTTGGTTTCAGCTCTGGCCAGCCCATGCTAGCTTTCGCAGACCACGTTGGTACGCTTAAAATGGTAGAAGAGACGCTGTCAGACTTAGCAAAAAAAAAATTTTTTGAAAAAGCTTCGACAGGGACTCGAACTCGGGACCCCAAAGTTGCCAGGCAGGTGCGCAGCCCACTGGGCCGCCCAGACCTGGGGTTAACCCTAGCTTAACCCTAGGGTTAACCCTAGTTTTGGAAAATCAATTAGGGTTAGCTCAGGAAAGGGTGAAAGCTCGTTCCAAGCTATGGTTTCCGCATATGAAACGAAAGAGCACTTCGTTGCGCATCTTCTCAACACAAAATGGTCCGGATAAAAGAATAACACAGGGGTTTAAATGGGCCCGGAACAATTGTTACCCCAGTGGGCCCAAAGGGGTTAATAAACGTGGACGATTTGGTTTCAGCTCTGGCCAGCCCATGCTAGCTTTCGCAGACCACTTTGGTACGCTTAAAATGGTAGAAGAGACGCTGTCAGACTTAGCAAAAAAAAAAATTTTTGAAAAAGCTTCGACAGGGACTCGAACTCGGGACCCCAAAGTTACCCCAATGGGCCCAAAGGGGTTAATAAAAGTGGACGATTTGGTTTCAGCTCTGGCCAGCCTATGCTAGCTTTCACAGACCACTTTGGTATACTTGAAATGGTACAAGAGACGCTGTTAAACTTAGCAAAAAAAGAATTTTTGAAAAAGCTTTGACAGGTATTCGAACCCGGGACCCCAACGTTGCCAAGCAAGTGCTCATCCCACTGGGCCGCCGAGACCTATCAGAGTCGTGGGAAAAGACCAAAGTTATGAAATAGTATTGTGCCTTCATGGCCTTAATGAATTGATACGAGTGACTATACAAAGAGTGCATAAAGTACTATGCCCAATTGACTTATGCTCAAAATATTCCTTATTTGATTTCCTTAAAATTATACTTAAAAGGATACTACCTCTTTAATGAATTATTACTTAATTTAATGGATATATTGGGTTATAGTGGGAATCTTTTGTATAGTTGTATGGCACCTGGTCAATCCACTGATGAATACTCAAAATATGGATGTCGAAATGATCAAATGAGTGGCAGAGTGGAATCATGTTTTCAAGAAGAGTGAACATATAAAGTACAAGATAAATTTCCTGTCAAGTGATAGAGCTTCATGTATATTAAAAGTAAGTGTATACTTAAATCAATATATTAAGCTTACATATTTGAAAATCAAACTATTTAAAAAGTTATAACCAAATGAAATTCAGACAAAAATTAAATAAAGACATTGGATAAAAGATCCTGGTTTGGTCAAAATAATCAAAAAAACTTATTGAATCAGCAAAATACAAGTGTCCAATGAGATTGTCTTTTGATATAATTGTTTTCAAGTGATGAAAACTTGTGATAACTATTCTATGAATTTTCATGAAAGCAAGTCCAAAATTATGGATAGATTATAAAGGCAATATGTATACTTGTCACCTGAAATGTGACCTTATAAAACTCAATGTGAATTTTAGTCTAAAACTATAAAATAAAGAGTAAAAAAAAACTTGTCTTGTATCTTATATTTTTCCTCATCTATAGTAAAAGAAAAACAACAATAAATTGTAACACAGAAACTTTTGTATTTGCTGGAGTTTGTAAGCTTGGGTTTGTCACTATCTTAGGTTTTATAACTGTGTAAACTTAAAAACTTCTTTATAGACTTGTAAAAGACTCTACTAGGCCTGTATTATAGAACCTGGTTCCATCTGAAAAGAGTAAAACATACAATGAATTGTGCGTGGGATATTTTTTGTTGATCTTTGATAATCTTTGACTTGTATTGTCTAACAACTTTTAGTTTTTATAAAAAAAAACTATAATCCAATATATCCATTAAAGTAAGTAATAATACTAAATATTAACTAAATAATTTTGAAATATGCTTAAAAGCGTATTTCAATGAATATTTAGTTAAATGGATATATCTCTTTTATAAAAAATGAATGGTATAATGCTTAATATTTCTTGTAAATCTATAGTAAAACAGCTACCACAAACTACCCACAATTTTGGCAATAATTTTCATAAACTTTAGTTTACTTCTAAAACTCTTAAAATAGTAGAACAAATTTCAGAAAATTAATCAAAAATTTGAAATTGAGTTACCTTCACAGAGAAAATATTTCAATACATGTATATCATTTCATTCAATGGAATAAGCTGTAGATGATAGGTGATAGGCTTTGATGCATGAAAACCAAGTTTTGCTCTGAAATTTTGAAATAAAATGTAAAATGTATAATAGTACTTACGCAGTTACGGAAACAAAAATATTGCCCATTGTAGATACGATACCAACAAAATATTATGAAACACAGATAGATAGCATGTGTTCACATACCCAAGGTTATCATCATTACCTGAAATGTAAGAGATGATCAATTAGGCTATATTGCATTGCATTTATAATACGATACCGATACCGGTAACTTGCAATAGGCCTATAGGCCTAGGCTTCAATCAAATGGGTGCAAATTGATACTATCGGTGTCCCTGATACACAAAATTTTCTAGAAAACCTCTTTACAATCGGTAGATATAGATCTAATAATTATTCATGTAGATCTAGCCTTGATGAGGCAGGATTTCACTGAGGCGAACTAACCAAAAATCAAAGGACTCGACGACATAAAAAATAGAATTAATCTCACCTGATTCAATGCAACTTTGATTTACCCTTTACCCCCATGAATATTATTCGATCATCATGTAGAACTGCTTTCGATCTCACTCAGTAGTATTCTTCACTTCTTGATCTTGAAGTGAATTTCGCTTCTCTTCCGGTTGTGAAAAAAAGATTCTTGAGTCCTTTCGCTTGTGCTAACCAAAAAAAATCCGCACTGAATATCACGTAATGGTACCGAAGAAAACTCATTGGTATTGTTTTATTTCAATACCATAGAGATTCTTTGAAAATCATCGTATTATTTTGATTGAACGTTACCATGACCTTTTAGATATCTTAATGGGCGTATTTGAGTTAAAGAGGGGGGCGACGACTATTTAATCGATTATCTATCCGCTATTACCTGCCGATATCTTCCCGACGTCAGTGTGCACACCGGATGTCCATCGTGAACCGCTAACGACCCGATGTCAGCAAGATTTCGGCTTGATATCGTTAGATTGATCGTCGTTTCTAAAATAGATCCGACATAGGCCTTATATCTCCAAATCATCTGTCCACTATCGCATGTCGATATTATCTTCCCGACGTCAGTTTCACGTGAGTTGTCATAGAAGTGTGCACATCGGATGTCCATCGTGAACCGCCAACGACCCGATGTCGGCAAGATTTCGGCTTAATATCGTTAGATTGATCATCGATTTCTAAAATCTCCAAATCGATCATCTATCCACTATCACATGCCAATATCTTCCCGACGTCAGTTTCACGTCAGTTATCTTAGACGTGCGCACATCGGATGTCCATCGTGAACCGCCAACGACCCGATGTGACTTGACATCGTTATATAGATGGTCGATATATGAAATAGACCCGACGTAGGGCCGACAGAGTCTGAACCGATATCGATTAGTCGGGTCGAGGTCGTTTAACAGAGCCGACGTGCCGAGATTGAGCCGCTGTCGGCCCGATGTTGCGATGTTTGCTGGGATTGAGCGTTATCTCACTACAACGAGTTTAAGCTTACTTATTGGTCTGCAACTTTTAAATTTGTTTTTAATTAGACTAGCTATGTAAAGGCGAATATTTCGCAGCCTATTGGGTCATAATCACCGTCTAACTCTCGTTTATTTCACAACTCTCCTAATAAAAAGGTCCCACAATGGACTTATATGACGTTACTAAGAGTTACCTGCCTTTATGACGTCGCGTGTGGTAACTCTATTGTGCCTTGTAAGCAACGTAGAAAAAAGATTATTCTTTTTGCCGTTTACAAGATAAAATCAAGTTTTTTGTCAGAATTTATTAAGAAAATTTTGAGGTAAGGCATAAGTGTTTTTAACTTCATGTTAAATAAATAAACTGGCTCTTTACTTTTCACCGTAACGATTACAAACCTGAAAACTATTATAAGCCCGTGAGCTTATGACGATAACAGTTCCTTCCCTTAGTAGGCATACCTTGATTGCTATGTCTGAATATATTTTTTTGATTGGGAGTATAATAGGCACTAAAAGTAAACGCCGAGTAATGTACTGTAATGATAAAGAGAGTGAAATTAATGATAAATTTAGTGAATAAAATAGGTGATAGATTATGAATCTTATAATTTTATCAGGCTTTTAATGGCATTGAGTAATTATCATTTAGTGTTGTAATTTTTGTTTTAGATCAAAATGAAGAAACACGATCCAGATCGTCATAAGAGACCTGTGTTTCCTGTAGATTTTAGTGTGATGCCATGCTTGGTTGAAAGATCACATGAAAATTCTCCAGTTTCGACATCATCTAGAGGTATAAAGAAGTATTGGTTATCTCTTGATACTTGAGATTTGTAAAATATAACTTAATAATAACATTGATTATTTCTATGTAAGAACATACGTAGTTTCGTATGATGATAATAAGGGGAAAACATTACCAAAATAAACAGTTGATAAAAAAGAAAAGAAAGCAGGTTCTATTGTTTTTAATTTTCAAATTCCAGAGTCACTCTCTATAGCCGACGAACCAAGATCACCAGTTAAATTGTCACCAAGAGCTTCAAATTCACCAAAACTAAATTGGTCACCATCACCACCTTCTTCACCAAAATTAAATGGTACATCAACATTTGAGGCAATACGAAGAACATTTGATGATTTCGGTTTTGAAGCATCTCCTCTAAAGTCAAAAAGTAAGAATTTGAATAATTAAAAAGTCCAACCAAAATCACCCTTTTTTCGTCATCATAAACATTGACAACTTTCCGCAAGCCCTCTGGAGATTCAACCGAGAGCTGACAAATGTATTAGTAAATTAATGAAGTCTTATTATTTTTGTCTTTACAGGTAGAGTTGAACTAAAGAGGTATATCGAGAGATTAGAAGAGAAAAATAAAGATTTAGAAGAAGACAATAAAACTCTTCATGATGAAATGTTCCACAAAATAAAGTAAGTGTTTACTACTCGTGTGCTGTAATTATGGTTTAAGCAATATTGTTTGAGCACAAAAACGGTATTAGCGTAATAGCTTTAACACAATATTATATTTTCTCCTATCATGGGCTATGTTAATGTTATATTGCCCGAAGAACTAACTTGATATTATTTTTATTTCAGATTTCTATCAGATTTACAACAAAAGTATGATGAATGTATAGATACAATCGTAGAATTAAATAGTAAAATATACCAACTAGAAAATGGATGTAATGTAGATTCGTCTGGTCAAACTATGGTGTAAGTTAATTTATACTTTTCTGTGTCACTTATTTACAATAACAAGAAAATAATAATATTATCATTTTTCCGACAAATTTCGAGCACAAAAAACCTTCTAGCGTATCATAGTTAGACGGTGGGTTCGTTTTGCCGCATTGCCCAACTTGCCGCATCGTGCCCAACTGCACAAAAAACGTTTGTAAAATGAAACTAAAGGTTTCTGATAAAATCTGGAATGGCCATTTGTTTCACATAAAACGAAATATTTCAATCTGTTGTCCCGTATCGATTTTCTGTGGACCTGTTAGGGAAATCGAAACTATAGTTTCAAGACTTTCATACTGTACCTTTTTACAGAGGCATACTCTTCGCTATGACGATAGACAATAGAGTTTTCAAAATATAACCCTCACCGCTCATGGTTTTAGATTCCGCAATACTCATTTTCCTGTGGATCCATCCGATGTCTGAACTGTTTTTTTTTCTAAACAATTGCATGTTCGTCTGTTTTTGTCTCCACCTGCCGACGGTAGTGTGGAGCCAATCAAATCCAGCTTCTACCTTGTCCTCCAGGACATTCGGGGACTTATCTGGAACCATGCAGTGTTGGTTGAGCCACTGTCGAGTTATAGGGCACATCTAATAGGAGAATTCTAAACTTCTCCTCGCTTGATAGTTCTGATTTACTATTCAGAAGATTTTCACTTTTAGACATTTCATTTTCTAGCACGTGGGTGACGTTATAGGCACGCAGTAAAGGGACATAACTCTTGCAAGTTATGACCAATATTTTATATGCACTTGTCTTGTTTCGTTTTATGAATTTATGTATTTTGTATTACGGTTCTGATAGTTTGTACTTAGTATTTTTTTTATTCCAGATTTTACAATAAAACTATAGTTTCGATTTCCCTAATAGGTCCAAATTATAAATAATATAGCTTAAAATATTCCGTTTCATGTGAAACAAATGGCCATTCCGGGTTTTATCAGAAACCTTTAGTTTCGTTCAGCAAGTCGTTTTTGTGCAGTCACTGATATTTCATGAACTTATTTCTATTATCCAAATTTTGTCTTGACAAATTTTTGTAATTTTTAAATTTAGATCATTACAATCATCACAAGCTAAAGATCGAGAAATAGCTGAATTAAAAATGGATATGGAAGACATAGAAAAAGACAGTCATTTATGGAGAGTCCGCTGCAACCTCCTTGATGTTGATAATGATTCACTAAAAACTCAGATAGCCGAGCTCGAACAAACCATAATAGAGCTGAGAAATGGAAATGGTGGTCAATCACGACCAACAAGCAACAGCTCAAAATCCAAACTTTCAAATCGCGTAAGACCAAAGACAAGAAACCTCCAGTTTGATCAAATAATGAATAAACCCGAGAAAGATGCATCCCTAGCTATAGCAGATACAGACAATCTAAAACAATGTTTACCATCTATGGAGTCCAAGAGACCAAAACGACCATCTCTCGCTAAAACAACTGATACTAATACCAGTGGTCAAACTCTACCTAAAGCAACTAAGTCTTCAACCAACATAAAAGAATTAAGAAGCAATACTCCCTACCTTCCTCCGATTGAATGTTTAGTTGGGTCTAAATACTACCCTAAACCGCCATCTCATCCAAACCCCAAACTTCAGCAAGCTTCTACCCGTTCTTCTACACCAATCTGCAACCCAGTTCTTCCTACAGATAGTCATTTCAAGTTACCACATCTACCATTTCCACCAAGTAAACCCAAAACCAATAAAACAAGAAAATATATTCGCTAAACGATCACCATTGTAATTTCCATTGAGCAGTACTAAGTTAGCTGCATTGTTCAAATAGACTCATTGTGCAGCAGTTAGTTGGATATATTTCAGACTACACTGTTCAATGGGACTGAGGTACACATGCAGTTGCAGTTAGTTGGAAGTATTTCATACTGGTTTGTTCAATTAGCTACTGTGTTCAAGGTTACTCATTGTGTTTCAGTTAGTTGGATGTATTTAGGAGTAATCTAGTTTTAAGAATCCACTGTACAGCGCTAGAAAGTAGTTCTTTGGTGTAACAGTTATTTAGATCACACTGTTTAATTGGGTTCAACTGTTAATGAAAGATCATGAGATGGCGTTTTTTTTATATAACTTAAAGTCCATCACAATGTTTCCAAAAAGGGTTAGTAACCATTAGGTTGGCCTATGTGTATCCTGTTAAAAATACACCAACCTATCTCTGAACTCTGGTCTCCTATCTTCAATTATAATTTGATGGAGTTTCGTTTATCTATAAAAACTATAAATACTTCGAAGTCAGTATTATTCGTTAATCGCCAGGTATATGGTCTGGTGTGTTCCAGTGTCTTTGATGGTTGCCATGATACCAGCCTGTTTTGGCTTAGTTTCTGCTTCTTTCGTCTTTATTTTATCATTTTGCATGGAGTATCTATGTCAGCATTTTGAATCTCTCATTTTTTTTATTTATATCAATTTATCATATGAAATTACTTTGTAAAGCATTATTTAGTGTTGTTTTGATGCGTCGAAATGAGGACTTGACAGCTATTGCCTTATCAACTGAGTGAAACATATGTTACCCCCTTTCGTTATTTTACTCTGGTGACCAATAAGGTTATTCGGTTAAAACTACATGTCTTTAACTATAAGTGAAGAATATGGAGTACGAAAGCATATGATAACAACAGAACACTGCTATGGTGACATTTCATTGCAAGTAATTTCCTTTGGTGTTGAAGACATTTTTCTGGATATCAATATATTTTGTCGCATTGTCTTTGTTTCCTATGGAGTATTTGGTTATGGTGACCATAGCGATCACCGGTTACTTATGGTTGCGAATGACTTATAAAGGTGCCCTTACACCATAGCGATTGATGCATATGGCTGTGAATAATGCAAGTGGCAATTAGTTCTGAATGCAATTTTGAACACGGACGTTACGGACACAAGGCGACCCCAACACATTGAACATATCAGTTATTAACCCAACTGAATTGTTACTCGTAAGTTCAGCAAACAATACGTCGAATATAGCAGATAATGGGAGATAAGTTCCGTTTTTACACAATGCACGATATCACACTTCGTAATGATATCAATTTTTGGCGTCTTTATTCAAACATTACATTTTATGTGCTTATGATTAAGTTGCTTATACCTTTGTGCACATACTATGAAAGCACACCAGTTTCAGTTATGAAGGGTCGTGAGACGGAAAGCAAACATGCTTTGGGCTCTACCAAAATCAAAAGAAAAACAATCACAAATTCATTTTCAAGTTAAAAATCATGATTGGAAATAACAATGGAATGCCAATACATATAGTGTTAGATGAAGATTGAGTAGAAAACAAACCCAAATGTTTACATACAAATCTGATAATAGTAAAATGCTTTGATAACAACATTCTATAACAATTGTGTACAGGCAAGACAAGCATGTAAAAGTTGAATATCACTTGTTAAGATCACCTGGTATCACATAGTAAATCATTTCAAGAAAAGATATGTTAACAAATATAATTATGCCATTCATAATAAACTTAGTGAATATATTAACAATGTTTTATATACAATATTTACTGGTATATATATTAAATTTGAGAAATAATAAATATCTTGTAGGGCTGGGTGATATATTTGTGTCAAGATAAATATTGGAATACATGCTGGAAAGTAAGGCCTCGTTAGATACCTTTAGTGATTATCGTGTTTACAGGGTTAATGTTGTGAATTTCCATTCGATATTGGGTTTCTCACTTATTTACCACTTTGGAAAGTCGATTTTCACAACGTCTCCGACCTTAACCATGACCTCATGTAAAAATAGCAAATATTATGAAGGCCGCCGCACAATAACCGACAAGACACGTCAGATATCTCCCGATCACTTCCGATTTTGTCGTCGGCCTGTCGTGCTCCAACACACACTGGCGATTTTTTGAAAGAAAATCAGTAAGTGTGCGTGTGCCTGAAGTTATAAAGTCATGAACACTGTTGCGCCAGAGATTCGGATTTGCAAGAAAATACTGAAATATTATCAGAAATTCAGCAATTAAAGCATTATCTAAAGTGACTGATTTTTACTGTTTTAAGAGTAAAAAAAGATGCGCATTATGTTCACAATTATACAGTACTTGTATTCAACATTTATTTGATCAAGTATCATCCACCCCTTTTACCTTAATGTACTGATATTTCATAAAGGAAAATAATATCCATTTCAACAACATAAGAGTTTCATTCTCTATACTCTGCAACATTCTTTGCTAATGAAGAAGGTTATTTAGTTTTTTTTGTGAAATGAAGATAATTTCGCCTTGGCAGTGGTTTAATTCAAATCTTCTGAGGTATATAAGTTTTCTTTCAAGACAAGTATAATTGAAAGTTTGATAAAGGGGTACAAAAATATATTTTAGAAGAGAATGAAATACATGTAAACAAACCATTAGAGTTTGAACTAAAGCACTATTTATGACAAACACCGGTCTCAATAACAACATGGTAAAACTCTTAAATAAAATATAAACAAATAAACAATATCAACTAAACAACTGAACCGGTATAAATAGTTGAGCTATAGGTAGACAACTGAACTGGTATAAATAGTTGAGCTATGTGTAGACAACTGAACTGGTATAAATAGTTGAGCTATGTGTAGACATCTGAACCGGTATAAATAGTTGAGCTATGTGTAGACAACTGAACCGGTATAAATAGTTGAGCTATAGGTAGCCAACTGAACCAGTATAAATAGTTGAGCTATGTGTAGACAACTGAACCAGTATAAATAGTTGAGCTATGTGTAGACAACTGAACTGGTATAAATATTTGATCTATGTGGAAATTGAACCTGTATCAATAGTTGATCTATAGGTAGACTACTGAACCGGTATAAATAGTTGAACCATATGTAGACAACTGAACCGGTATAAATAGTTGAGCTATGTGTAGACAACTGAACTGTTATAAATATTTGATCTATGTGGAAATTGAACCAGTATCAATAGTTGAGCTATAGGTAGACTACTGAACCGGTATAAATAGTTGAGTTATATGTAGACAACTGAACCGGTATAAATAGCTGAGCTATAGGTAGCCAACTGAACCGGTATAAATGGTTGAGCTATAGGTAGACTACTGAACCGGTATAAATAGTTGAGCTATGTGTAGACAACTGAACTGGTATAAATATTTGATCTATGTGGAAATTGAACCAGTATCTATAGTTGAGCTATAGGTAGACAACTGAACCAGTATAAATAGCTGAGCTATAGGTAGCCAACTGAACCGGTATAAATGGTTGAGCTATAGGTAGACTACTGAACCGGTATAAATAGTTGAGCTATAGGTAGCCAACTGAACCGGTATAATAGTTGAGCTATAGGTAGACTACTGAACCGGTATAAATAATTGAGCTATGTGTAGAAAACCATACCAGTATGAATGGTTGAGTTTTATCTTGACTTCTAAATGAGAACACATTCAAACAGGGATAACTTCAGTATAAAACTAATGAATCAGTGCGCTTTGCTGACTTAATAATGGATCATTAGATCCATCTGTTGCAAAGACAAATCTTGTATGTTTGACAGTTTTGGGTTGAGCAGTTTGAAGTAAAGATTCATTTCCATTTATTGGTAAAATACTCACTTCCTTTAAGTTAGTTAGTTCAGAAGGACTGGCAGGATCAGCTAAAATATAACTGTCTTTTGACCCTGTATCACCGGATTTCTTAACTTTAACACTTCCTTTTTGCAAGTGATGTAACTCTACCAAACAATTTTGTTCACTTCCTGTTTCCTCGGAGAAACCACTATCTACATTATCACTATTTGCTTTATATCGAATAGGTCCATCACTACCTGATCCTGATCCTGAAACAGTTGTTGATGCCGAGTTAGAGGAACCACTATAATGACCAGAACTACCAACTAGAAAGCGTAATTGACGTTTTCTTTCGGCTGTATATTTACGTTTATTCACAGCATTATGATGGTCTTGTATGGTTTGTTCTACTGATCGTGATTCATTCACTTTTTCTGGCAACATAAAGGCTGAAAATAAAATATAAACCATCAATAATATTCACCGAAATCTACTCTCGTCTCATGGTTTAACAAGTAAATAAAGACCGTGTACATGAAGCTTTTTGGTACTTCTTTAACAAAATTTCATTAAGTGTTTCAATAAGAGCAAAATAATTCAAAACTTACATCGAAAAGAACTCCTTGGAAATTTCTGCAATACAAAACCAAAAATTACTTTTTGTGGTATTTTCTTACTCCCGCGATTTGCCATGTATTTGATGTATATGCCTATTCCCAAGCTACATTGATTTGTACCATAGACATACACAATAGAAGGTTGTACTAGTCTCATTAATTTGAAAGTGATAACTATTAGAGTTCAATGAGTTTGCTAACTTTGATCATATGCCAAGAAATGTCTGCTTAATCAGATGACTTCTAGTCAAATATATCTATATCAAAAATAATCAAAAAAGTTTACCTGTTTTTTCAATACACAGTAAAAAAAGAAAATAACAAAAGACTGAAATTAAAAATAAACAGTTGTTCAAATTGATATACAAAAAATATTCATAGAGTTATTGAAATGGTCCTTAGAGTGCTTGAGAACCCTTATATTTACAGATTGCGATAAAATAACAATTTTAAAGGAACAGTCCAAACTTAGTCAAATAACTTTCATCATAAAGAAATTTCTTAATTTTTTTAGACTGCTTTGGAGAAACACAATGAAACGTTGCAACAATTGTTAAAAAAATATCTGCATTTTTATTGAAATAAATTTGATTATATTAACAACTTACCAATGTAATATCAGAAAAAATAAATACAAAGGAATAAACAGGAGTATTTTGAAGAATTTTCGATCCAGTTATACAACATATTGTTAATAATAATTGTATAATCATCATCTCTATACCTTGATATCTATAATTATAAAAAAGTCAAAAAAAAAATTTCATTTTCATTAGTTTTACATGCAAATGTGTAATTAAGATTAACAATAGTTTTCAATATAAAAAAATTATTATAACTCAGGGACTATTTTTTCAAAGCTATTAAAAAGTTTGTATTTGGAACAATTAAGGCTTAAAATATGACATTCTGATTTCCAGTCTTTGATTCCTAATATTCTGGAATCACAGTAATCACATACATCAAACAAGAATTCTGCAACTTGTGATTAATTGAATTAATGTGATGTGATCATAATCAAAAAAAAAATAAAAGTTGAACATTCAGAATCATCTCTCCATGATTCTCACTAGTAAGACAACAATTAAACTATTTATAAGAAATTATATTGACTTACAGATATTGTTTTCTATCACTATATCTCCATTCTTCTGTCCAATGATAAACAGATACAAAACCTGCCAGAGTTAAACCAACTTGTGCCTAAAAATCAAAATAATAATAACATTACATGCAATATCTACAGATTGTGAAAATAGTCTGTGGAGAACCATAAACCACAATCTTGCACTAAAATACATATATCAACGCTATTCAAGACTTTGATGTTAAAAAGGAAATTTATGGCTGCCATGAGTGATACAATCCTAATTGAAAAACATAAAGGCTCAACCATCAATGCAAATGAAATATAATTATTTTTCTTTCGACTTCACTAATAACAAGCAATGCTATGAAGTGTGCGATGTAGGGAATTTTGCAAAGACTATTTCATTAGCCTTCCTTTTAGCAACATCCAACACTGTAAAACAAGCCTCTGACATTGCACTTGGTTTAACCTTCATACAATTATTCAGAAGAACAAATATTGAAATATAACTATACTATTCAATCTTGGTGTTAGAAAGATAACAGGAATAATACATACCAGAATAAGAACTATCATAGGTATCAAAAAACTATAATAATGCCAATGTTCTGCTGATAACCAACACCTACAATAAACAACTAATAAAAACTATTCTGTAACATGCAAAGCCCATTATCTTTAAACTGTAGAGCTCAAATCTTTATTTGGATCTTCAAAACAATACTTCCAAGGCAGGTTATGTTCAAAATTCTTCAACACCTGATGGCAATGTGACTGTGTCAACTTCACATCTGTATCAGGGATTCTTCATGTTAATACATGTAATGTTATTTTGAGATTTTTTTCCATTTAAGCAGTAATACTTCTTAACAATCTGACTTCTGATAATCTTACCAATATGTACACATTTTATCATAGCCAAGTTTCTCTGATGCAATAACTACACAACCAGTAGAAACAGTTGGTATTCCTGAAATCAAACATAAAGCATATATAAAAACTGTCCAAAATCAGAACTGTTTCTATTCTGTTTTGACTGTTGGGGGCACATAAGAGGCTATCAGAAGTATTGTAAAAGTCCATATAAGCACACAATGGTACAACGACCAATATCGATGCCTAATGCTTTCAGTAAAATCTTCTAGTTACTGTGAATCTTACAGAATTTACTTACCCCAACCAATGAGGAAATATTTGATACAAGTTTTAGTCATTCTGTTTCCACCATGAACAGATACAAACATATGAACAGCTTCAACAAACATAAAGGCAAAAGTGGCAAGATAAAAAAACTGGAGCAATATTTTTACAGCAACACAAACACTCTGGAAAAACAAGTTTTGTGAAGCTTGCAGACAAATTAAAAAGTAGGCTTGAATTAGGGAAGTCTTAAAACTGTTGCTTTTAAGCTGAAATTTTACAGTTTTTTCATTAATCTTATTAGTTCAATTCTTTCAATGTTATAGCTTTAATCTATGATGTTGAAGACACATGAATTCTCATCTTCTAAATTTAATGACTTGATGGTTTATTTTCTGCACCTATTGTATTTGTTCTACATGATCTGAGCTAATTCTTCATTAAATCGTGTTCAGTTGAATTTTAACCCTTTGCATAATAATTTGTATGAATTTGATTTATGCTGATCAAAAATCATTATAAAGGATAATAATCTATCTAAGTTACTATAAATTTTATAAACTGTGCTTTCATGCATTTTGGATTGCTGTCTGCTAGACCTTTAGGTGCCATTGGTTCACATCCTCCTCCAGGTAAGAAAATTCGGAAGCCTGTGCCAGTGCTTCTGAGAGTTGTAGGCTTTCATCCCCTAATAAAAGATCCATAGAAGGTAACAAGATGATAGGCAGAAAATAACGTGAAACAGAATAGATAGAAAAGATCACCAGAAAATATGCGAGGAGTGGAACTGAAAGAGACATCTGTATTGCTTACCTCAACACTTGATTTCCCCAAACACATTAAACATAATATATTAACAATAGCTAAACTTAATGTTAAATTAACATGTATACAGTGGACATTGCCAACCAATTTTCTGAAATAGACAAGAAGAAATTGACATTTTTTGAGTAGAACTCACAAATTCAACATTTTGAGGGAGATAAGTCCCTATTTCTGCACACAAGTAAATAGAGACAGGCAATGGCATGCAGTGCGCAATCAGGGAAATGATGCAAGGACATAGATGTTCCCCATATCATTACATACTGCAAATAAAAGAAAATGAACTTGATTTTTTTTTTCATGCAAGGGTTAGGGACATCTTTCATAGAGTAATTTGTGGAAAGCTGAAAGCAGAAATATACTAACCTCCAAGTAAACAAATAAACAATAATAGTAGCAGAGAGTCCACATAATGATAAAATACAGCCAACTAATAACACAGTATCATAGTTCATATTAACCTCTTCTATATCCTGTAGAGTAAATTTGAACAAGTACATGTTAGTGGTGCGGCTAGTCAGTTAGAAGTTTAGGGATATGCTTACTGTGGATTCTGACACCTCACAAAGATAAGAAAAATTCAGAAATTCAGCTCAATTTGTTAATAAAGAAAATATTGTCTGTTTCATTCAAAAGAAATCCCTTGAACTAAAGCTCATTAGTTACCTAATTTTTATTTTTATTCTAAGTACTTTAGAGTAATGATTCCACCTAAACAACTTTAAATCGGTAAATGACTTCTAATTATCATGTCATATAGTAGTTGACAGCAGATGTTAATAGAAGTTCAATTCAACAGTTGCCTATTGAAATGTTTAAGTTGAAACTTTGTTGAAGTTATGTCCTGAATATTTGATTTTTTCTTTTCATCTCTTCTTTACTCACATACAATAGCTTTAATAGAACATCAGCTACCTACAGTACCTAGGCAGACGACACTGCTGATGGAAAAGACTATTATGTTAGCCTCAAAGGGACAGATGCACCATTTATTTTAACCATTCATATCTTAGTCTCAGAAGTGGGATTTTTTAAGCTAAGTTTATCATTAATAGTTCTCATGGCTCATAATCAAAATTTGAGTCTTCAAATCCATTTGTGTACAAAATTATCCGCGTTTTAAAGTTTCTTTATCATGTATACGAAAGACATACATCGATAAAGTATGTGAAACTCCTAGTTTTGGAAGTTTTTTAAAAGAATTATGCAATTTTCGTAAAATTTCTAGTATTTCAGAAGAATATTGACATATATTCAAGACCCTAATCAACCCCCCAAAATGGTGCACCTCTCCCTTTAAGCTTTTGAGTCCAAGTTCAATTTTAACTCCAGTATAATAATTGATTAGTGTCTGAACACTCAAGATGCCTTTTTGCACCTGCGCTTGTTGACTATGCAGCACTTTTGGACAATCCAGTTTTCGTAGCAAATTTAGTGTTTTCAAAGATTATATACCTTTGATTCCTCTGGTTTAATAAAAACAGCAAATGTTCCAGGAACTGTACACCAACATGTTGTAGTGGTTAAATTCTTTCTGATAGTTTCACAACCAGATGCATCCCAATAACCATAAAATGACATTCTGTAAATAAACATATACATCAATCATGGTAACATTGGCTGACAACAAATAGTTAACAACCAAAAAAAAAACATTTTTCAAAATATCTGAAATTCTCTATTCACATGTATTTGCATGTACAACACATTAATTTCTTGTGTTAATACAATAATATTTCATCTAATACACATTAAATTACTGAAAATATCTGAAATTCACATGTACAACACATCGATTTCTTGTACTAATACAATAATATCTGATACACATTAAATTACTGAAAATATCTAAAATTCACATGTACAACACATCGATTTCTTGTACTAATACAATAATATCTGATACACATTAAATTACTGAAAATATCTGAAATTCACATGTATTTGCATGTACAACACATAATTTCTAATGCTAATACAATGATGTGATCAACATCTCGTTTGATAAACATTAATTTGATTACATTAGTTTTTATTTTTCTATAAAAATGATGATGATGAAGAATACTATACCTATAATTAATCCACTTAGCACACTGTGTATCATTGTCTATTGTAAAATGTTGATCCTGTAACCAAAATAATCTTATATTATAAACAAAATTTTAGACCCATCTAGCTAACAATGATCTTAAAAATACTATTTATCAATGCCTAAAGTTACACTACTTAAAAAATTTAGTGCATTTTGTTTATAGTTTACCCCTGGAAGTGATGTATATAATTATATACTTTAATATATATACAGGAAGGGCTTTTGTCATTCGTAAAAAGTTATATAGAAGAATATAAAATATGTTACCTGTTGAGTATGTTGTAGAAAAATTTCAATATGTTCCTCACTTGATTCCCAATTATTTAATAAATATATAGAATATATATCACTTACTGGATTACTCATACTGAAATATATCATTCTAAACAGTTTAATAATCATAATTATTGAACAGAATCAAATTCATTCTATCTTTCTCATAGAAATCAGATGCTCTGTTTAAACCTTAGTTTCAGTATGGTACATTAAAGATTAGAATCATTCAATTGTGATACATCCAAGGATGTAAATCCTGTGTAATTAATGTTTTATATTATATTACATTTATGAATGTGAAAATGCTAATACTATATGACAAGAAGGTGTAGGTGTTCTAATGACTTGGAAAAATACCAGTTTGTCTCACATGTCAATAATTAATTACAGACAGAATTCCAATAAGTGACTGATCATAAAGGTCAAAAAGTCTTTTTATTTATCCAGACTGTACATACATGGATATACATGATTGGTTAAAACTCTAAATTATATGCAATAAGAACATACTGATATGACTAAAAATACATGATAATTCATTAAACAACACCAATAAATCACATAGTTTGCTTAAATGACATGGCACTGGCACTGGCACTGGCAGGAAATAATGGGACTTAATACCTTATGATGATTTATCTACCTACTGGTATCTTTAACAATATAAACATATCATTCTATGTACATGTTAAATAGAACTCACCTTTCCCCATAAGGTTCCACTTTCATCAATGGAAACAAGTTTTTAAAATAAAACTGGACTGTTGATTTTACTTCTTTCTTGTCTTCTGCTGTTAATGTATCTTCTCCTTCATCTAGACTTGTATTTTTACCATGACTCTCAACAACTACAAATATATCAAACCAATAAGGCAATATGTCATCCATAAAAAAATCTTATGGGATTCTAAAGTTTGTAAATTTATTTGGTCTTAAAAATATTATTTATGGATACGATTGTCTCGGTAAAGGCTATCAAGTTGTCCAGCAAAACAATAGCTGCATTTACACTGCTTTAATAAGGGATGTTTTTTAGTCTGCAATATCAGATTCAGTTGGAAGCAGACACAAACTTTTCATCTACCTAGAAACGCAGGACTGGTTTCAAACATCAAAATACAGGGACAAAAGAACAAGTTGACGTCTCTTGAATTATAGATAAAAAAAAATCTTCAATTACATACTTTTATGAGAAAAAATGATAATAACTGACATTTTGAAAGAGACATATATTATATATCCATGGCAACATATTTGAAAAAAAAGTTACCTGATAGATTAAGTTGTTGTAATTTTGAAAAACCATGTATTATATTAGATTGGAATGATGAATGTACAGGATGGTGAGATATTGGTTTATGTGTCACATGTGCGGTACCATCAGGTAGTAAGTTGGTTGGTATAACAGTTAAATTACCAGTAGTAAAACCTACAATCATTTAAATTCAGTTGATTGTTCACATCTTGTTTGTTTGTTAAAATATCTTTAATTAATTCAAAACTATAATCAAAAAAGAGTTTTTTTCATAATTTATAAGTAGAATCTGTTTTAATTATAGTTATAATAAAGTTAGTATTCTAGTAGGCTACACATGGAATTGATAGTATAATTACAATTTCCATTTTCAGTCCAGGTTTATTTACAGGTTATTTTCCTTTTTACAGCTTGTTGGCTTTCCAGAGTACATACGTAATTTTGTCTTTTTTGATAGACTAAAACACGCAATTCCTTTTAAAGCAGATATTAAGATCGATCTTCTGCCAGTTGACTTATAATATTCCGCATTATGAATAAAAACTAAGAAATTATACAAATCTTAAGTTGTGATACATGTATATTACTTTTGAGAAATTTGTGAGTTCTCACTTCTTCCATTGTTAACATTTTTTTTGAATTATTGTTTTGAATAAGTGATGCTTTTCACTACTCAGCATTAGTATCAAGTGGGACAAGTGCTGTAACTACATATATAGAGGCAAATGCCTGATGCTAAACAAAAATAATTAATAGAAAAAAAAAATTCTGCAAATATAAATATGATATCTCTTGTTTGATGTCTATGACCTAAGAATATTTGGCTTGCTACGTGCAAACAGGATTTGTGCCTTATTCAACCCAAGTTACGGCATAAAACCATGGTTTAGTGGTCCCAAAATCGGTTATAAAAAATACCATCAAAATAAAAAAATCTCAACATACCCAAGGCAGAAAGTTTAATTGATTCACCATCAGTAATTTGTAACAATTTAACCTCTAATTTACTCAGCATATTTGATATATCAATTATTTTTGGAGCCACATACAAATCCTGAAATTATTTATTTTTCATGAAGCTAATATAGCATGCTCTTCTCTGCAGTATCCACTGAGAGATATATATAAATATATTTGTTATGGTGACATTTTCTAGTCAGATATCAGATATTGTAGATGTATTGGTCAAATTAGATGCAACCAAATTGCTTGTCAAGTCTTTAAAAGGTTTACTGGTACCTATGACTTTTGCTACGGAATAACATATATTATTTCATTTCATATTATTTCATAAGATTATGTGCCAAACACAATTTTGATTTCAATAGATAATTGGAGAGAACCATGTCAGTAAATTTTTAATTGTCATAGATGTGACAGATTACAATTTTTTGACAATTTTTTAATTTTTCAATACAAAAGTGTCAAAAATACATAAAACATAGCTAATTTTATTACAAAATCTTCCTAATGATGAAATCCCAACCAGGCATATTAGAGCTTCAATCAAACATGGCTGGCAAAAAAAATCAAATCAAGATCCCTGTCAGAAACATCTATTTCATATGATTACTCAATTCTCTTATGCATGTCATGATATGCTGTGTCTTGTCCTTTATTTATAGCATTCACAACCTATATCAGTAATTCTTACCTTTTGTTCGTAATGGTTAGAATTGATAGCTTGTTGTAGCAACAGGTCTAATACTTCCATTAGAGACTGTAACAAGACAAATTACTTATAGTTAAATCACTTCATTCTTTGATATACATGTATCATGCTAATAGATTACCCTTTAATCACTTCAATAAACATGTTTCAAGGATACATAGTGATTACAATCTGAGTTTTTATTTTCCCATTTATTAACAAAGTTAAAGATACACTGGTGCGTATCTAGAAATCGAGGAGTGGGCCAAAAATGAGAGGTAACCCTCAGAGGTGAGGAATCAAGGGTTGACAGAGGTCCCTCTGATTCCAACAAATTTCAGATGATTAACAGGCCAGAGGAGGCAAATGTGAAGAAACGTGTATATTTGTTTTAATTGGTCATCAAATAGAATAAACTTTCTGTCATAAATTCACATCTCTAAACAAATGATCCAGACTTGTCTTTAAGTGTAGACACCAGAACAAGTATTACATGTTTAACTTCAGAAGGACATAGGCTCAAATAGATAAGTTATCTGAACATCGAAACTCTTGGTAACAACATGTTTCTAGTTTTGTTGGAATACCTTTATATTGCTCATCAATTGATGTATTGAATATTATCTTAACAGTGAAAATATCTGGTTATTGAAATGTAAAATACACGGGAATGGTGAAAGATCATTAACATCTATAACCAACTTAATTTGTCAAGAGAGGCAGATCTGTTAGTAATTAGTTAGGAATATCTTATAACTTGATTAAACTTATATTACCTGATAAGAGAAGAGACCAGATTGTGGGGTATACATAGGAAATTGCCATATAGTTTTAATAAAGGTATGTAATATATAACAGCTAACATCTACATCCCCTGCTAACATCTGACTGGATGCTAATTTAATAAATTTGTACAGCGTATCAAATATATCAGACATATTATCATGCTGATAACCTAATCTTAACTTCTCCAGCTGCAAAAAATAAAATGTAATGAATAAGTGTTTATTGTAGAGGTTTGAAATGTCAATAATGAGCTCACTGAGAGTACTTGCTGTTACATCAGATTTTCTAGTGCATTGAGGGCTGTTAGAATCTTGGTCACCTAACCACATTGTTATGCTAAGTTTACAGACAACATACCCTTTCTCAAATATTGCAAATCCCTGGTTTCTAACCTTCAGAACTCATTTTACCCCTTGCTTTTATATGAGGTTGCTTTGTTACCTCCTGAGGTCTTCACAGGTACCACCTGAGGAACTAGTACTATAAGTTGGCAACCAAGGTCTTAAGTGGTAAAACAACAAAAGCTTTCTTTGTGTTTATGATAATCAATATACACATCAGTCTAAAAATTCCATGAAGAAGGTTTTTCTTCAGTTGACATTGCTAACATTTGCATGACTGTTATACATATTCAAAATAGCAGGTTACAGATCTTCATCAAATACAAGATGGATGATATCAAATAAAAGTAAGTTGACATTCTTTTTTTCTGTTCCAGTTTTAACAAATGAAGACCAGCACGTCAAGTGCAATTAGACAAATTTGTCAGAAAAACAGCATTAACCTACATTTTTTTTTATTTTTCAACTGACATGAAAGAATAAGATAAATTTTTTACCCTATCATAGATTATAACCAGATGACCAGATTGACATTTAGCAAAATTAGGTTGTGACCATTGACACTGGTTATTTTTACATTCACACATTCTCCTTGAATAACCTACAAAACACATTTTATCTGACTTTAAACAACATTCATTATAATATTCAGTTTTAAGATTGAATGTGCATCAGGGGAAATAATGCTAGGAAAATGCATTTGGTTCTGCAAATTGTACACAAAAAGTACACACTACTACTAATGATAGCGATGCTAGGCCTACAGCTTAGTTACTAGTATCATGGAAAAGCACAGACAAATTCAGCTAAAAACATAGTTAATAAGCTAAACACACGGAATAACACAGTTACAGCCTGTAACTATCCTCTGACAGACACTTTACTTGGCAAGTTCGTCTGGTTGACAAACATAAAGTAATAAGCACCTATGAACAAGGTTCTGACGCCTGGGATTTTTTAAGTATGATTTCAAATTTTGAGTATCTTATCAGTATCATGTTTACATCTGGTAGTCTTGTTAGAACAGACAGAAATGAGCATAGGGAAGCATACAATAGATAACTTGGTATGACAGTTTGTTTTATTTCAATTTCCTGTTTTAAAACATGCCTGAATAAAGTATTATTAAAAGTAGAAATGATAGACAAGGAATAGTCAAAAGTAATGGAGAAGCAAGTCTAGTAATTTCACAATATTTGATCTGTAATTCAAAAATTAATTACTGAGTCAAAACCAATATTGGGTTATTTTCAAATTTCTTTTGTAGATTTATAAACAACCTTTTCAAATTCATTAGAACAAAAATCAAAATATAAAATATTGTGTATTGACTCTTTGTATTTTAAATACCATAAAATCTGGCGAGAAGTTGAGAGAATATTTGTTAGTTGCCTTTTATAGTTTATTGTGGTTGCCAGATTTCATGAAAATCAGAGCAAGAGGGGAATCAGCATCCTGTGGAACAGAAAAAACACCAATCAAAGAGTTTTGCCAGTTTTTCTTATCAAAATTTAAAAAATGAAGAAAATCTTAAAACTGACAAAATTCTTATCACTCATTTCACACATCTAGTAGGTTAATATTAGTAAAATAATAATATGCAGTTTCTATACTAAAAGTGGATTTAGACACCATTGAATTGCATTGCCATTGCCTGCCATCTGGTGGCAGCACTTACCATCTCTGACATTGCGCAGAACAAAAACTTCTGAAATATACGATTGTTACAAAACATACAAATAACTGGGAGTGCTGGGGTAAAAAGTATGTGATTGAACAAATATTCTAAACTTTCTGGAATTTTTACAAGAATTGAAGAAAAGTGGCATTGGGAGTATTTCTAAGGGTTTGAGACGACACAACAGATACCATACATTGACGACAATAACCGCAAAGGAAAGAGACCCATACACAGGGTGACATAGAGATGAACATAATTCAGCATCAACTAAATTGAGACAAAATACTTCTACATAAAATGTAGATACAACATAAACTAGAGACAAACATACTACACCAACAATACATAATATACTACACCAACTAATACAACAATACATATACTACACCAACAAATACAACAATACATATACTACACCAACAAATACAACAATACATATACTACACCAACTAATACAACAATACATATACTACACCAACAAATACAACAATACATATACTACACCAACTAATACAACAATACATATACTACACCAACTAATACAACAATACATATATTTACTGATGTTTACTATAAACACTTATATTATTTTGGTACAGTTATTTTTACTACATTATCCCACCTTGGGCACCAAACACCTTTACCTTAACTAAGATGCCTTCAGACCACTCCCCCTTCTAATGGAATAATATAATAGCCAAAAATCTTGTCATCTTCAGTGTTGATTAAATCAATGTGCAATATTTCATCAAACATTGAAATTTTATTGGTATCAACATGATGTTTAATGGCCTAAATTTTCTTATAATGTAAAAAAATGTCTTACTCAGATCATGGGTGCCACCACAAGAAAACATCTTTTTCAAATGAAATATTAATTTATTCAATCTTTACACTGACATGAAATAACCTGATAATTCTTTTCTGCAACCGTTTTGGCTACAATATCATGCAGTGTACAATAAGAGAAACCGTCCACTGACAGACACTTAAGTGAGAACATCACATCACATCTATGAGATGGGAACCTTTATGTATGAACACATTTGCAAAATAGTACAACGTATACTGGCGAATAAATCATAAACCAAAATTCAAGATACATACTTAAAAATTTAGTAATTATAGAAATAGAAAAACCAAACACATACTACATGCAATATGCAAGCTTCATGTCAATTAAGAAAGATTAAACTAATGAAAATTCAGTAAATATGTTATTTTTTTGAAATATTTTATTAAGAGAAAATGTCTAAATAACTTCTGTTTCGTTATATCGCCGATGGTAGCACATGTGGGGAAATATGGTTTGTATTGCAGTCTACAACCACATCATTTTAAATACAAATTTATATAATATTATTATTATTAATAAATATCATTTTGATTCCCAAATATGTGTAAGAATGTACCTAATCAATTCTGTATTCTAAAAATTTCTTGGAGTATAACCCATTCAGACGCTCCAAAGTTAAAACATATTATTCTTCAACAGAACAGCCACATATTGAATTTAAACCTTGACAGTTGACCCCCAATTACGTCTGTACCCTATTTGTACCCCCAGTCTTGAGTCTGCCACTGTATCTTGCTGATCAATTTTCTTCCAAATATCTTAAGAGTAACATTTTATCACCTTAAACAAGGACATCATAGACAGACAGTTACTAAGCCCAACTTTACCAAAATTCGTCCAGTTTGGATATCATAATCACTTTAAAAATACAAATTATGACAATCGCATGTGAAAAGTGCTTGAAGATATAAATCATCCGAATAAAAGAGCAATCAAAATAGAGCTATAATAATATACATTATAAGAGATAATATAGGATATATAATAAGTGTACATGTATACAATTATGACACCTTAGAGCATGCTATTATTCATTACCCTACATTAAGATAAATAGGTTTAGTTTCGATATTCATTAGGTTTTCAGGCCATTTCAGAAATCCATATCAGATTTTTCTATGTTAAATTCAAACCAAAATAGGAAAATCTTAAATTGGAAATCAGAAATAAGACAAAAACCATATGAAGAAATTTTTTTGTTAATTTGAAAAGGAATTTTGGAAATCTATTCATACATTACTTGTCAATTATTTTAGATTTGAAGATTTTCCACTACAGCATTCTACTTAAATATTGTATTGAACTGTTAGAATTTTGCTTGGGGTTCATTTATTTGAGTTTAAGCATACCAGGATAAGTATTAGTAGAGATTTGGATAACAATTTCAATCTATTTTTTAAAGATTTACTAGGATAACAATGTGAATTTATCTAAATTTCAGTTATTAGAGTTTTACCAGGATAACAATGTGAATTTATTTAAATTTCAGTTATTAGAGTTTTACCGGGATAACAATGTGAATTTATTCAAATTTCAGTTATTAGAGTTTTACCGGGATAACAATGTGAATTTATTTAAATTTCAGTTATTAGAGTTTTACCGGGATAACAATGTGAATTTATTTAAATTTCAGTTATTAGAGTTTTACCGGGATAACAATGTGAATTTATTTAAATTTCAGTTATTACCAAGATAACAATGAGATTTACAACTAAATATTTGTCAATATGATAATATATAGAATTCTTCTTGTGCCAAATATTTTCATTTGCTGATTAATATATAAAATTCTATTTGAGCTAATTATTTGACCCCAAAAAATTATATTGAACTTGAGCTAACATTTGTTAATTTAATAATATAAAATAGAATTCTACTTGAGCTAAATATTTTCTAATGATTTGCCATATCGTAATTAATAAATAAAATTCTATTCAAGCTAAATATTTGGCAATATAAAAATATATAGAATTCTACTTGAGCTAAATATTTGCCAATATAATATATAGAATTCTTTTTTAGCTAAGTGTTCTAAAATTTATTACTCACCTCCTGTATCTGTAGGACATCTTTCTATGTCAAAATTCCCTGCACCCATTCTCTTCCATTTAACACCTTCATATTTCTCACTTTCACAAATCTTATTGGTTTTATTTCCTAAAAAAATAATGAAACAATTTAATTGAAGCCTTTGTAAGCTTTATTTCAAACTTTATTGCTCCTGATTTGGCTGATGAATACAGGCAAGGTCATACAGTATGCAATGAGGAAATTTTGCCAGGACAATTATCATGACCAGACACTTCGTCTTGAAATTGGTACTGATTGACATATTCTTCAGATTTATCTCAGATAAAATCCCTAAATTACTTTGCTGCCAATAAACCAAAATACCCATCTCTATACCCAACATTATCTTTAACAGACAATCCCGGTTCAAAGAGATAGGATGATTACAAATCACAAACTATATCCTAAACCTTGAATAACAGTCTGATTACATACTAAGTTGACATGAGAATAATCAGTGTAGATCAGAAGGATAAGAATTATTTATTTCAAGATGACATTACAGCAGACAACTGTCAGGACTAGGATATTTATAACATAATCTCTCTATTAATTAGGCATATCTTTGGCGATCAAGAATGACTGAAACTTTTTTAATGGATAATAACTTAAGGATCTTGTCTACCAGCAGGTTCTAGGCAAAATCTCTTTACATTGATCTTTTCAAGGCTACATGAGATTGAAGAGGGAGTATGTCATAACTTGTACAAAATCTTCCACATTTATCAAGAATGATTTCAAAAATCCCTTGGGTTGACTCTGCTTGTCCATTATCAAAATTGACATGACAAAATTTAGCCAACAATTCTGTAAGATCATGGTTGGGGCTAGTAACTCTAGTAACTAGTAAATTGATAAACAAATTATCTAAATCTTCAACTGAATTTGCACTTTGTGTTTTTGTTATGATATGTGTCTCTTTTCATTCCTCTAGGTCTATTTCTGGTTACATGGGTAAAATGTACCACCTACCTGGTAAGAGGAAGACATGTGCAGTGAGATTACTGGTACCAGCAGTGTTAGTAATATAACATGTATAGTTAGCATCAGATGTTACTCTTCTTACTGCTAATCTACTACCAGCAGGGATTAACTCTTCAATAATCTCATCCCCATGATCTGAGATAATCTCCACACCATTCTTATACCACCGATAATCAAATGTTTGTCTTGTATCATCAGGTGTCACACAACGGAATCCAATAGATTGACCAAGTTCACGACTTGCTGCTAATGGTGTAACCTCAATATGGGGATAAGTTATAACATCTACCATTACAGATTTATACTGAACTTGTCCAAAATCACTGATAATACAGGTAAACTCTCCTGAAATAGATAATAAATGAATTAATTAGGGCTAATTACTTCTTTTAATTCCACAGGATAAATTATGAATGAATGAATTAGGAATGAGCACTTGTTATTCCTTTTTTTGAAAGGAATGAATGAATGATTGAATGAATAAAGATTAAGCACATGTAATTCCTTGTTTTGGAAGGGATAAATGAATCAATGTGGATTAAGCACCTATTATTCTATGTTTTGAAAGGGATGAAAGAATCAATAAATGTAAACCTATTATTTCATGTTTTGAAAGAAATGAATAGAAGAGCGCCTGTCATTCCTTATTTTAATGAATAGCAACACCTGATCTTCCTTCCGTAATGGAGGTTCATTAATAAATCTGATAAAGTTTATGCATTAATTTAATTTTAATTTGTGATTTCAAGACAAATAAAGTACTACATGGTTTGTTTCTACTGAAGTATGAAAAATATCTTTAATGTGACTATTTTTTATCTTTATGTAATAATTCTACTGACAGAAGACCTACTCAGAATTAACATGTCCACAAAGTACTTTGACTTTGTTAGTACCATTATCTATTTGGATGTGTCAAAAATTGACCAATTCCAAATTTCTCATAATGAAATTGTTCTTGTAAGAGCAAGACAGAAGCATCACACATAACAACTGACAAATCCAAGACAACATTGAATCTGGACTAGTATCATCAGCACTGTAAAAGTAGAGTACTGTTATTTCACAGGTTTCATTTAAATTCCAAGAAGCCATATGTATAATAGAATATATTATAAATTTATATAGAAGATTTTTTGCTACAGGCTATCTTTTACTCAATTTATTAGTCAAGGACTGGTATAGGTAATGGTAGATAAATTAAGTAATTAATACTATTTGAGTTTTAGTAGATATTATGAGATCAGACACATTATGAACTAACTAATCATACTTTCAATTATATTCGGTCACAATGGTTTTTGTTTAAAATTTCTTACCATACCCTAAAGCAAGAATTTATATAACCAAATTCATTTTTGATTTTATGTTCAGTAAAATTTCTGCAGGCATTTATTCTGATTCCTGATTTCAAAGACAAAATCATGTGACATTCTGATGAGCTGTTTGTCTGAAGAATTATGACCTAAAATAGGTCAGACAATTATAATTTATTTTCAATGTGGGTTGTTTTAAGTATTGACAGGACTGCCTATTTGATCTTTTGATACAATATTTTGTACTTCAATTAGATGCTACATGTATCTTGAAGATGTATTAAACTAAGCAGGAAACTGTACCTTTTCTCAGAACACCTGCCTTTGTCATCTTTTCATCATCAATAAGACAATGATAGCTTTTCATTATATGACTACTTCCTTCATTTTCACTTATTTTTAGGCTTACATTGGTCTGATAAAACCTGCAAGCCCGAGTTGTTAGTCATTGTTGATCTTTGGATACATTCGTCATGATTTTTCAACTGACCAACTGAGGTGAAAGAACAGATAAATGTTTGACAGAAGTTATTTTTTGCGATCAATTTTAATGTATGATACTTTTGCTAGGTTTCACATGCCTGTTAATTGTACCCCACCTGCCGTTAACCAATATACAATAGTTACATTTTGAAATACTTGCTGAAAGTGCAAATTAGATCAAGTATTCCCAAAACACAATGTTTGTCTTCTCTTATTTCAGTCTAAATTTTTAAGTATTTCAACTGATTAGTTTATATTTTATTATATAAACCACATGAAGCAGTCATAGTTAACTCAAGTCAAGTGAAGTAAGGGAATTCAATAGAATACACTCCAGTGGCTAATAATTCCACAAATGGTCATATATACTGAGGTATCAAAGAGCATGATGCTCCACAGGCCATTTAATTAATGGTCCAGAATTCATTGATGTTCTTATCTTATCTAAGAGATACTTCTATCAATCATTTAGAACATCAATTTATTTGAGGCCAGAATGTATATTTTATGATAATATTTATTAATAAATGGGTTAACTAAATTAAGATGAGAAATTTGCCTTTTAATCAATTATAACAATCCCAGTAGACTTTATTAAACACTTTACCAGAGATACCATCATTTAATCTTGGTTAATTAATTTCACGTACCAAAAGCTATTTCAGTTAAGATATAATTCTTACTTTGGATATCTTTTGATTATTAAAGGGAATGTAAAGAATTTTTCTCAAATCTTTTAGGTGTATCAGGGACACTAATCAACTTGCATAATTCCGATTTTCAATCAGATGTCAGTGGTTCAAGCAATTCCACTAAAACTAAGTGTTTGAGGACGTAACTAATTGCAAAGGCTTTATGTGGTAAAGCATATTTTGAGATCAGTAACGTCATCAAACACTTAATTTTAGTGTAATTACAGAAACCACAGCCATCTGATTGAAAATTGGAACATTGTCTAGGATACACATACAAAATTTAGAAAACCTCTTTACAATCCCTTTAATGTAACAGCTGGTCATTTGAAATCTGAGAATAATTTTCTGATTATTAATCCATTATTCTAGCTATGTCATAGCAACATAATATAACTTGTAAAATCTGTCTATAATACAACCACTATAAAACATTCAAAATTATAGCCTGTATAGGGCATAAAAACACATTATTTATGAACAAATTTCAGAATATATATTTGTATGAATTAGTACATTAAGATAAGATATTTCTATTTGTTAGTTATTAAATATAATTATCTTGTATATATTTTTTAATTATATTTATCATATTGAGGAGTACATTAGCTATTTGTAATAACACATCACTGTTATTAGTACATTTTCATATATATATATTTATATTTTCATATCAAAATTAATTTTTCACAATGGCATTATGGTACTAAATTTCCATTTTTTTCCATTAACATTCATGAAATGATATTTAATTTCCATTTGTTGTAACATTGAATAATTAGATACATTTCCATGATGTTTTAACCTCAAACACAGACAGTCAAGATAGTGCCTTCAGATACTTTGGGTTTTAATCTATCTCAATCAACTCCCTTCACCCATAAACACCTCTGATAAATCATAAATTGAAAGAATATAAGCTTTCATATAGTTTGTATATCATAAATTGAAAGAATATAAGCTATCATCAGTGAGTATATCATAAATTGAAAGAATATAAGCTATCCTCAGAGTGTATATCATAAATTGAAAGAATATAACCAGTCCTCAATGGGTATATCATAAATTGAAAGAATATAAGCTTTCATATAGTTTGTATATCATAAATTGAAAGAATATAACCTATCCTCAGTGAGTATATTATAAATTGAAAGAATATAAGCTTTCCTCAGAGAGTATATCATAAATTGAAAGAATATAACCTATCCTCAGTAAGTATATCATAAATTAAAAGAATATAACCTATGCTCAGTGAGTATATTATAAATTGAAAGAATATAACCTATCCTCAGTGAGTATATCATAAATTGAAAGAATATAACCTATCCTCAGTGAGTATATCATAAATTGAAAGAATATAACCTTTACTCAATGAGTATATCACAAATTAAAGGAATATAAGCTATCCTTAATGAGTATATCATAAATTGAAAGAATATAAGCCTTCCTACAGTTAGTTTATCATAAAGAAATCAACTACTCCTTATTCCATCACTGCCAATCAAATTTCATTCAATGACTATCTATTGAATTAGTATATAAATAGGGTAATATAAGCCTAGAGCAAGATATGTCTAATTGTAGAGATTTACTATAATCTTCAAGATGGAAGTAAAGATAGCATCATCTTACAGTTCTCATTAATGGCTAATATATTTATACAGTTAGTTATTTACATAAATCTAATATGTACTTTAGCTTGAATTAATTGACTTTTATTAATTATCCTAGTGAATTATCTACATTAGACTGAATATAGATTTGTTTATATATACATATATAAATATAATATATTTTATACATATGAAAAGTTTGTATTAGGAGAGGAGTTATATATTATTCATATACTTCTGAATAAAATATTGTTTAACAAAAAAAAAATAGATTTCAACTTTGAATGATATAAGAAAAGTGTGAATTACTTCGAAATTTGAAATCTTGTTTGAAATCTAAATTTTAACTTTGCTTAATATACATTTTCATAAGTTCCTCTGATTTTAATATTTCTTAGAAAAAATGAAGTTTGTTTAGCACTGTATATAATTGTTGTATAACTGTTCTGTTTTGTCGTTCAGTTACCTATTGATTTGACACGATGTGTTCAGTATAAAACAACAAAACGCTACAAAACACTTTTGCTTAATTGAACGTATTGTTTCTTATTTCATTTGATAAATATACAAGATTTTAAAAATTTTAGAGATTTCTATTTCTATCTTTCCAATCAAATGTTAAATATTACAAATAATATGTGAAAGAAAAGAACATGATCTTAATTAATATTTTCAAATATTTTTCAAACAAAATAATGTTTCCGGTTCTGTTTAATATTTCTGTAAAGATTTTTACCATAAATAGAAAATGAAATAACTCAAGGTTGTTAAAGGTATACTATCTCTAAGGATCACCAAAAAATTAAAATTGAAACTTGATTAAATGAGTCATTGTTCATCAGTGGACTAACAGGGTGTCTTTTTATAAAAAAGAAACCCTCTTTAATCAAATAACTCCATAAAACTAAGTAATAAACCATGTACATGTGTAATTTTGAAGCTTAGAAGCATGTTTCAATAATAATAATATAATAGAGATTCTATTCTTTAGTCATTGCACATGGTAAGTCCAACTAATGAATATATACACTTGTTGTCTAAGTTAAAGACTTTAAATTTTATGTCCATTTTAGGAGGTAGTATCCTTTTAATATCTGAAGATATTCAAAAACTGAAATGAACCTGTAGAAAATGTTAACCATCTGAAGATACAATGTTACAATTATACGATGTTGACAGTAAGTAAGAAGTAGATTAAGTGGAATGACAGCAGAAATAAGAAGATTGCCTGTAGAATATTGATAAAGTCAAGCACCTCCTTATTACTCAAGTTTCTACAGTCTGCAGACAAACAGGAATATAAATGTTAACTGTTATTGTGACAGAAACACAAGTTCTAGAAACCACCTACTTCAATGTTTTATCATTGTAGTAAATAAATGGATAAGAAGGTTACTGAATGAGCTGTGGTCTTTTTCTTGAAAATTGAATTAGGATAAAATCCAGATTTGAAGAAATACAGTTATCTGATTAGATAATAAAACTTAATTCAAAATCAATTTTAGTGTTGACTAAGCAGATGACTGATCATTTTAAGTTTTTAAGAATAAGGTCCCTGATGCACATTTCTACTCTACTACAACAGTGAGCTCAGATTTTTTTTTTCATTTCATAAAATTGTTAAAAGCATGCCATTTGTCTTAGAATCACTTTATGTCCATAGAAATATAAGGTTTGGAGACTGAACATTTGAAATAAAAACTTCACTCCTAGAAATTACTTGAGAAAATGAATCACATTTCAGACTTAAAATTTGTACCCAAAGCCAATCTAATAAGATTCTCACTACTAGTTTGTTATTTGAATTCATACAAAAATGGTAGGAAAACTGAAATACTGAAAGCATAGTGGTCCCAGAGTAATCTTCTTCTTTCCTATTTTGAATATTATTCATTTATATTCCCCATTATATTTTTTAAAAATTTTTATAACAACTCATATCAATCTCATGAATGGTGAAACTCAAACTAAGTAACTCAGGGATTTATTTCAGTGAACATGAGGCTGGCAGCAAAATACATGAAAACTGCACCAGTTTGATTTAAAAATAATCTAACATTAGTTAATTTTCAACGAACAAAAACATACAGGAAGTATGAGAATGTAATTTGAAATTCTCCATTAAAACTGGCAAAATTATTATAACTGTCTAAGAAAGAAACAAATTAAAAACTGCCTCGCCAATATTTGAGGCAAAAAAAAAGCAGTGAAAGAAATGAGTGACGTCAACTGCATTATGAATCAACCAACGCTTTTTATTCTTCATTGAAAGCAAGTCTAGTTATTATCTGAAAATATTTTTCAACATTTTCTGTTCTATTGTTTGACACATAGTTTAAACACAAAAAAACAGGCTACACATGCTTTTGACAAAAAATTTGAGAAACTTCATTTTGAAACAGTTTTTGTAAAGCCTAATTGCTTGAATACCATTGTCACAATTTAATTCTTATTCTATCCCAATGATTTAAAAGATATTGTAAAACCATTTTTCTTTTATAAATTGTAACAGTTAGTTAAGGTTTGTTAACATTATCACAATAAAGTAATATCAATAACTTGTTAATGAAGGTTACAATAATAAAATGGATTCATAGAATTGACATAGATACTCCTTTGAAAAATTTGAACCACATTTCTTTTATAACATAATCTCAATTGTATAACTTGATTTGTAAATGTTAACCATATATCTTTTATAATGTCACAATTGTAAAACTGTTTATGGAGGTCACAATCATTATATAGAACCTGAGTTTTATCTTACTATTGAAATAAAATGTACCCATATATCTTTAATAACTTTAAAACAATTGTAAAACTTTATTTATTAATAGAGGTCACAATCATTATATAGAACCCGAGTTTTATCTTACTATTGAAATAAAATGTACAGATACATCTTTCATAAAATAATCACAATTTTAAAACTTTATTTATTAATGGAGGTCACAATCATTATATAGAACAATGATAGAAGAGTGTTTATCATACTATTGAAATAATAATTAGCACATATTGTAAAACACATAAATTCACATTTTTTTGTAAAACCTATAAATATTCTTAATGAAAGGTACACAGATTGTAAAATATAATTTATAAATCAGTTTTGATCAGTTCTATAATATATCAAAGGTTTATGACAGTAAATACAATACACTGAGCATATATTTATTTTATATGATTTATATCTAACTGAAAAAATGTTTTCAAACTTTGTTTTCATGTATCTACTTCAATAGAGTATATATTCTGATATATAATCTGAATATATTACAGTCCAATTGTGCATTGTAATATTCTGTTGCAAGAACAAACACTAACACAGACAATCATCACTTTAACTTGAAAATAAATTAAACTCACTCGGAAAATCATCATTCAAAGTCAGAAACATAACACTTATTTGGAAAAACACCACTGTTGCTTAGAAAAACATTACTCTATCCCCTAAAAACCTTACTCTTACTTGGACAAACATCAATCTCAGTCGTTATAATCACTCTAACTCAGACAAAACATCACCCTTCTAGGTGGACATCTTTCTTACTTAGAAAAACATTACTCTATAACGGATAAACATTACTCTATAACAGAAAAACATCACTTTAACTTGGAAAAACATCACTGTATCTTGGAACTGGGAGAAATATCACTCTCACTTGGAAAACATCACTTTAACTAAACCCAAAAAAACATCACAATTACTTGGACAAACATTATTCTAACTTGGAGAAAATTCATCCTCACTCATAAAAAATCACTCTAACTCAGAAAAAACATCACTTTTACTCTAACACTGTCACTGAAAGGCTTCACTCTAACTCAGAAAAACTAAAAAAAATAACACTCTAACTTTATATTTCAACACAGTCAAACATCTCTCTTACTTAAAAAATGTTAGACTTACATAATGAGGACTTCACCTTTAAAATGAAGAACCTTTTAACACAGGGAAATCATTTTCTAACACCCCTGATAAAAGTACATAAAATATACTTACCTTTATCATAAACTGTGACACCATCAATATTTAATACTGACATCTGTTTATCATTCATTGTTCGAGGTATTCTAACTTCCCATGCATTTCTATCACTAACAGACACATTAACCAGGTAGCCATCTTTATACCATTTAAAACTCATATTACTAGAACCACGGGCTGTACATGCTAGGGTCAACAACTTTCCTTCAACTGCAGGCTTTTTATCATAGTTTTCTACATACTGTAATTTCATTTCTGAAAGAATAGGAAACAAAAAGATGTCACCTGTTTCTTTTAAAAGTGTCCTTTCAGATTTAAATTTATTCTTCAATTTCGACATTATTTAAGTTCTTTGATCAGACAGATCTGTAACTAGTGCCAGACATGCTCTGGTATAATATATTATTTATAGTTGACCATCAAACGTACTTCTTTTAATTTTCAGGAAAATAAGCCCGGAATCATATTACTGTAGGAAACATGTGAAGAACCAATATCTCCTAGAGCAGTTCAATCAGACATTATAAATAGTCAACAGACTGACATCAAGGTCATTATAGGAGATAAAGATCAATGTAAGTGGCCCACGGAAACTGGAGCAAAAACAATATTTGCGCTAAGTAAGGCTGGATATAGATACAGTATAGCTAGTCATATGACACACTTCAACTTTTAAGTAAATCTCTTCACCTTTAAGCATATTAATAAGATATATACATATATGATTAGAAGAGCTTGTTCATACATTAAAAGGTGTTTTTTGTTTTCGGTCATATTATAAAAATATTTTGCTTAACTATATATTTAGCATTGAAATCAAAAAGCACTTCAGCATGGATTAATGTAAAGATTACCTGGATCCACAAAATACTTGATATTGTCCAAGTCTACAGTTATATTCATAAATCGACCATGAGTTATCAGCCCTTGAATTGTATCATTAACTAGAGACAGTTCTGCTGTTTCTACATAGAAATGGAACATCATGAGTTTAGCATCTGTTTCTGTCCTGAAATGAGAAAATAAAACTATCAGTGACTTACAAACAATCCTTTACCCCCTAACAAAAGCAAATTTTATGGTAACTCTAAAATTTTGAAAAAGCATCTCTTATCCATCCCACCATACATTACCTTAAAGTGTAAAGGAAAAAAAAACTAAAGGAAAAAAACTATTTAACAAATTGAGAACGAAGGTTATAACTTTTAGATTGAAACTCATCCAAAACCTCACAAATATACTTCATTTTCAGCATTTGATCAAAATCAAGATTGAAAGGGTTTCTGGCTAAGAGCAATTCACAACCAATCTTGCCACATGATAATGTGAGCATGTCTATCAGTAGAGAAATGCACTTGCTAAAGATGATTGATTCAGATACAACAACTTAGATTATCAGAAAAAACTCTTGATATTTCAGTTTATCTTAGATTTTTGTTGGTGCTTCTCATCAAATTAAGGTTAACAAACATAGCAATTATGAGTACACAAATATTATAATTCATCCTGAATAATAAAAACATGCAACCTCTAGTGCACCAAGTACATCAAGAACAAGGAAGAAACTACTTGAATCTTTCAACTCAACAATTTTATGACTATGGTTTCCTGTACAGGGAATATAACATTATTGAAAGAAAAATGTTGGCAATCAGAAAAAGAAACTTGTTCATTAAGACTGAGTGATCTAATGTTCGATAAATTAAGAAAAAGTTCAAATCCTCATGAATACTTGAATCACAAATGTTCTTAATTTGTCAAAAGACAGACATAAGATTTTTGTTCCGAGTAATTGCTTCAACCTCAATTTTCAAATATAACATTATCGATTTTTATAGGATTTTTAAGAAAAGGATTTTTTCTGGCGGAAAATCACATCTAATTCACATTATAATATCAGATTACTTAAGGACAGTTTATTCACCAGGAAAAATCTCATACCAATCTAAAGCCAAAGAATACAATGCATAGATCTGATAAACTGACTTGAATCAAAGGATTCATCTCTTTCAGTAGGTGATTAAGACTATCCACTAAGCTGTGTTAACAGATCATAGGAAGGTATATCCAGTTACACAATTGCATCATGTGTTTTTCATGGGCATCTATACCTTATATTTCTACTAACACTTGTTCTAATGGACCTTTTTTTTCAGGAAAAATGTCACCAGAGATAAATGTCTAAAAATTTCGGTAACAACATCATAAAGAAAAGACATAAATAAACTTAAAGGGATTGTAAAGAGGTTTTTAAATTTTGTATGTGTATTGGGGACACTTAGATAGCATCAATTTGCTTCCGACTTCTGAGGTTCCTGCAATTCCACAATAAACCAAGTGTTTGATGATTTCACGAGGCCTTATACTCATAAAACATTTAGAAAATCTATTTACAATCACTTTTATTTGTTTTTTCATCATTCACTTCACAAAACTGCAAGGAAACTATTAAATGAAGTTATATTGTAGTAGGTCATATAGTGTCACTTATAATGGAGTAGAGAGGATGTAACACATTCTTAAAATAAACAATATTCTTATTCTGTTTCATCTTATATGACATTTATTGTTCTAAAGTTGGTGATCTTAACATCCTAGTTCTGCCTTCTGCTTTTCAATTATCTGCTGATAAAACCAAAAGAATAAAAGTGGCATTCACAATTAAATATAAAAAATAAAAATCCCAAGAACTAACCTGAAAACAATAAGTTTACTTGAAATCTAAAATAACAATATGGCCATACACCAAATGAACTATTTAACAAGAAATTATATCAATTATAAATGAGCAAAATCACCTAGGTAGCGCTTGATTGGAGAGTTCTGAACAGGTTCAGTCTGTTTCAATTCTGCCCCTAATCAAACAATATAGAAATTTTTCCATCTATTTCCATCTCTGCCATTTTCATTTGTCTGCACCTACTATTTTTGCAGCACACATGGAACCATTCTGAACTCAACTGATTGATTGAATTGATTCCATGAATCTGTCATCAACTGAGCGACCCCCTGACAAATAAATTCAAGTTCACTATTAAATCTCTTTACCGGCTCATATGATTATCCCACTTGGACAATAATGCACTGTAGAGATTTGCATGTTTGAGATTGCCCAATTGTTAAAAATTGTAAAAGAAGGTTGTTGCTGCTTGCTTAACAAGATTTCCTTCAAAGCACAATTCATGACAATATTTGCCACTATATGAGCCAAACTGGAGCAGCAAAGTAGAGATGTAAAATTCCTTTTTATTTCATTTATTTCCCATTGGAACTTAAATTCACTGAAAAGTAATGTCTGGTTTCTGTTTTCATAAACATTCTGATGTTTGATTTCATTATCTCTGTTTATTCAAGTAGAACAGATTCTAGATCATTCATCTGAAGATCTAATACACATAAATGTTATTGACAAGATTCGATTTACAGACAAAACTTAGTTTGTTTTTAAAATTCAAATAAACCTCAATTCAGAAGCCTACTATGAGTTGCTGAAATGAACCTATTTATATTTCTATTTGTTAGTGCTATGTTCTTATTGCATGTAATTAAGAGTTTTAACCAATCATAAATGTCCATCTAAGTACAGTCTGGATAATTCTCTTATAATTTAGCTAATAATGAATTAATTATGGACATGTAGGATAAAATGGTATTTTTCCAAATCATTAGAACACATCTTTTTTTCTAATTATATAAGTATTAAATAAGGTAACTCATCTTTAAGAAGCTGAATGTGCTAACATGTAATATTTCAAATTGTTGAACAATATACTTAGAATATATAGAATTATGAACAATTTGTCAAGGATACAATATATAAAATATCAAGCAAAAAATTTTCCAAGAGTGTAAAGAAATTGAATGCTTTCTCAATATAGAACAAGGAAAAAGATTGAAATTTGAAGAGCACCACAGTAATCCAAACTGAGACATTGACAAGTATTGTGTTGTAAAATTGATAGGTTTTTAATGATGTCAACTTAAACCTGTCAATACAAATTCAATTTTCTCACAGAAATAAAATAGATGTTGATTGTATTGCTCGTGATTCTAACAAGCCAATTAGACTTCTTGCCATGAAAAAAAGTATTTAACAACATAAATCTTTCAACTTAGAGAACGAGTCTGATTTCACCATTAGAGTATTCAATAAATAACACAACAAAACATTGCATTATTCTGGAAGTTAACAGACTTCTAGAGAGAGATTAGAATAGAAACAGCAATTGGTTTATCTTATTGTTAACTGTAAAAACAATTTACATCAGCCAACACTGGGTATGATGTATTTACTGTAGTAGACTATTTATTTCATGATCTTCTTGTATATGTATATGAACTTCTTTTAAGTCTAAATCTAAATTGATGAAATTTTTGAGGCATTGAAAAAGAAAATAGTCTACATAGTGCAATATCACAAAGTTAACCCCCATTTCCAAAACTAAATGTCCTGATGAGGATTGTATATCCAAAACAAGTGTTGATCGAATGAGATAGACTCTGGTAAAAGACAATAAAATAGAACAATATTTAAAGTTAAACCTTACAAAAGATAGAAAAGAAAACCCAATTTGAAAATATATTTATTTTTTTACACCATATTAACAATTTCATTCTGAATAAGTACAGAACAGTACATCAGGCTTGAAAGAATAATTTCCGGAGTTCACAAATATAGTCATCATGAGTACTTAATTACCAATCTTTCAAGGGAATCAATTTGTTGGAAATTTCAGACATAATGGTCAATTAGTTTCTGTTAACCACCAATAAATCTATCTTTGGTACCATTTCATCCATTTAATCAAATATAAAAAGGAATCTGTCTTCTTTATTCCTTCAGTTTAATTGTCAAAGGAGAAATATACACTAAATTTTTAACAACTTATTATTTAAGACCCTCATTGGTCAAACAAGGGAAATCAGAAATGCCTCAATTTAAAAAGTTGTTATGACAGTGTATGTTGTACAATAAACACTATAAGTAACCTAATATTTATGTATTTTGTCTGCTTATCAAAGTTGTTAGGACTATGTATGTTGCACATAACCTGATATTTATTGGTATTTTGCCTGCTAATTGAAGTTATGACTGTACTTGTTGTACAATAAACAGGATATATAACCTGATATCAATTGTTATTTTGTTTATCAAAGTTGTTATGTCTGTACTTGTTGTACAATAAACACAATAAATAACCCGATATCAATTGGTATTTTGTTTATCAAATTTGTTATGACTGTATATGTTGT